GGTATTAATATAACCAGGACATATTATAACGAAACAGATTTTATCGAAAATTTATTATTATGATATTAGTTGAAGTATGATCAAATAGCATAGAAAAATAAAACATTCTTTTCTCTATCAGACTATATAAAAGAAAGTTTCTTTAACCTTTCTATAAGGGATAAAAATACCACTGCCACTACTTTTGGTATGCCCTAAGTATATAACAACCTCTCTCTCCTTAATCGTCAAGAGTATATAACTACAGTTAGGAACACAAGGTCACTTCGCCGTAGAACGAATTCGCAAGCGGTAGAAGTGCCTTTCACCACCTATGAGACGGTGCAGTCCTCTTTCTTCTGGAGAACTCCTAAGGACTGGAATCCTCTATCAATGGAGCATATAGTCTCAAAACCGTCTCTCTCCGCTTTTAAAGATGCATTCAAACTCTTTCTTCTAATGTGAGACTAATGATGTTTTTTGTTTATCAATATTTGTACTGGTTTTCTTTTCTTGCTCTTTTGTTCTCCTCTTTACCATTTTCTTTGTATCATCTCTTCTTCCTCTATGGACATGTTGACAAAGTTATCTGCCTAGATTCTTAATCAAACGCAGTTTTTATTTTGTTACAAACTTTTGCACTAGCAATGTTTCTTTTCGTGTATCCATGGCTATGCCAGAATACACTGAACTGAACTGAACTGAAGCCCTAGAATTAACAGAATCATAGATTCAATAGGTAAAACTGCTTCAAGTTCCGATTCTAATAGAACTGGAATTCGAATTCTACCAGAATCTGCCAATTCGTAGAGAAAATGTAAAAATGTGGGAAGAGGGCATCATAATTGTCATCACTTAATTTCCTTTTGGCTTCTACTAGTCGTTACTCTCGGATTCTTTAGTTAAGTGAGACAAGAAAACTCCTCCAGTAATCTAAATTAAACAAAGTGCCAATCCAATTTATGTAGTATATTTAAAAATAATAATGAAAAAATACATATGTAGGAATAACAAGAAGTAAGGAGACCACTAACTGGTCGGTCGACTTACTAACTCTGTATTCAAAATACACTCGAATGGACTAAAAAAATGTATGCTCTTATATATAGATATAGATATTCAAAAGAACAAAGACATGTGACATAAAAGAAAAAAGAAAAAATAGATAGAAATAGCTAAAGATGATGCAATAGATAGACCTAGAATAATAATGATAACAACTAGACGAAAAAAACAATAGATGAACGAAATAAAATAGACGAAATTGAAAAAAGAAAAATGAAAATAGAGAGACGAAAAAGTGGACCAAAGTCAGTATGATACTAAAAGATCACGCATACACACATGCAAAGAGAGGTAAGCCAAAAAATAGAAAACTAAAGACACCACTAAAGAAACGAAAGGACTAGAGTATTAAGTGTGCCAGACTTAACAATAATGAGTGACGACAATTTGAATTTTTGCTGAGGAACTTGACACCACTTGATGTGAGTCATACACTGAATGAAACTGCCTTTCCATAAGGTATGATAGGTAATGTAGGCACGATAGCAAGCGCGTACCGTTGGTATGCTACATTGTTGTTGTTTTTCCCACCCTACATCGAAAGGTATCTGGGTATACTTACTTACTTACTACATTATTGTATCTGTTCCTAGCAAATTAGAATTTCTGATATTCTTCTGTATTCCCTCGACGAGAAATCGGCGATGACGCCGCTTCTTCTCACTTTTTCTGTCCCCCACCCATCTACGTCAGGATTGCTCGTGACTGCATTTTTTACGGAAAACTACTCTAAACAAACAACAAAGTTGATGCTTAAGGATGAAAAAACTTTCTTAAGTAAACAGTCTAACTGACTGTTCTCACTATTTAAACTAACCATGTCACATCCCTGTACTACATCCACGATACCCGTCGTACTCACGATCCGATTACACTATATATCTGTATTCTCTCCGAAAGCAACCTCCAAAAAAAGGACCTTGTTTAAATTTTAGATAATAAAAGATAGAATAAGAAAATATCAAGTTTTTTTTATTTTGTTTTAAAATCACGTTAAACTCAATTACTTGACCACTAAAATATCCACGTTTAACAGCAAAATCACTGTTCTACGATTTGGAACAAAGGACGCTATTTGAAATCTATCAAACAATTACGATCGAGATTTAACATTTCTTCTGCATCAGTTGGTCTTAATAACACTCAAGACGTATTTCTTGTACTTTTAAGACGTTAACAAGCATATCAGTTACAAATTATTTAAAGTAATCGTAAAACTACTAGTGTTATCATCAGTATACAGTCAGACACACTGTGGACAAACAGTCGTAACGATTGAGTGCGACCTCTTTCGTTTTTTTCCTCTGGTTTATTATACGCCAATCAAATAATGTAACCTAATAATAGTTCAGAGTATTTCATGGATCCTTCGTTATGGCTAAAAGAACCACAGTGTTCGAAGAAATCAATAACAGAAAAAATTAAAATCGCATAACTATTTTTGCTACTGTTTGCTTGCTAATTTGACGGTATCATTTCTAAAGTTTTAAAAATGCCAAAACGCTGATTTCATTGAAACAATTTTAAGTGAACTTATTCTGGAAAAGTTTATGTGCGACGTTCCTTTTTCTTTTGATCCTTTCGGTTTGTTCACAATCAGCTGTATCTCAATAATGTTCCTCTTTCTATTGTGTCTTCTGTTTGTTGTCTTGTTGTTCTTGTTTCGCACGATCTTAGATGGAATGAACATGCTAGTGACATTGCTCTCGCTTGTCGGCACAAACTGGATGCACTGAGTCGTGTCTTCGAATTAGTTTCATCAGAGATTCATCAGAGAAAATCTTACTTCTATTTTTTCTAAACTAGAGTTTTTTTTACGCCTTGTATACTAGTCCGTTTTCTCTTACTGGGCTTGATTCGGTCGCATAATAAACCACTTGCTTTTCGTAATTTTCGTTACCGTTCTTCTAGCTCTGTACTTGTTTCTCTACCAGATCTGTCACTTTGTCCTAAACATTTTCGATTGGTACAGTTTTTCAAGATTTATCATCGTCTTAGTCCTCTTTCTTCTTTTTTATAATGTTCTTTATCCTTATTATTCTTCCTTACGTTGTCATCATTTTAAATATGTTCGTAGTCCACTTCCTGTAAACGGTTTTCTTCACAAACAGTTTTGTTTTCCTTCTTTTCATTCAACTGTTACTAACTGGAATAATCTTCCAGAATTAGTCGTTCGTTCTTCTTCGTTATTGTCATTTAAAATAGCTTTATCTCAGCATCTTTTCAATAGAACATAGCCATATTTACAGTTAAAAACAAACGTAGTGCTGTTACTCTTTATTTTATTTTTTCTTCTTTCTTTACTATCCCTCTATTTTTGTACACTAGTTTACTTTTTAATTTTATTTTCTATTTATAGATTATTTTTGTTATTGTTTCACTCGAGTCATTGTTTTATAGATTGAGAATCTTTGATGACTCTCGCTTTTCGTGACTAATAATAAATTCATTCATTCACGTAGAAGCTACAGTGTCTCGATGCAAATCTTTTAGCTCCATATAAAATTTTAGTTCATTGAGAGAAAATTAATCTCTAGCAAATTGAAACTTATACATGTTGATGAATTATTCTATGCTTTATTTTCTGTAGCTCTGAAACAGTATTAAGTTATCAGTTCTATTTTTCCGCATTCCTTATAGAATGACGACCATGACTACAAGTTCCAAAGAAGAAGTTATTCTTAAACCATTATTAGAGTATTTATTTTACAGTCGAAATTCATATGAATTATTAGCACTTGATGCTAAAAATAATAATTCAGATATACGAGACTTATTTGATCGTTTAGCCACTAAACGTCAAACAATGCTAAATACATTATCAGAACATAATGTTGGTGTTGAAAACTTAGAAAAACAAGAATTAATTGAACATAGTGGTGGTGAACGACCAGTTGATAATGAATTACAACAAATTTATAATAACATTAAAGATTCCTTTGCATCAGGTTAGTGACAACGCTTTTATGTCGTGTGAATGCTGTTAGATTTGAAGTAAAAGAAGGATCTATACACAGTGGTCATACAGGCGGACATTTGGCCAAAAATCGAACATGACCTTTTCTGTGATTTGAATAGCGTCAGGTATAGTCCATTCAACGCTCTATCGAATTTTGTTTCTACAACGTTTCCTTACGGAGTTATCCGGTAAAGAAAATAAGGAAATATGCTGAAAAATGGGTGTATTCAGTAAAATCACAACGCTAAATAGCGCTAAGGTCCAATCTCATTCGTTTCCACGTCAAAATGTTCGTCTCGATGTTCTGTGTCTATGGTGCATGCACGTTTGCTTCTGGGCTTTTCCTCAGGTTTTTCAAAAACCCTTGTTTTTTTATGTATTTTCCATTTTCTTCAGCTGAGAAACACTTTTATTGAAAACTAATGTGATATATCGGAATCAGCATGAAAATTTGCATCGAATAATGTTTAATTTGTTAATTTTACAAATAAAATATTTTTTGACAAAAATTCAGGGCAACGGTGTCTGCTAAGGAATTTTTTATCGAAACAAAATTTGTTTTTGAATTCGAGTTATTGTAGTTTTATTAATATCTGACGCATAATAAGACCATATTATGCGAAAATAGTCATTTTTTAACTCAATAAATCGAGATATTTGCCTGCTCTATGAAAAAATGTTCACTATGCTGTAGTGTTGAGCTTTCGTTTGACGCTGACATTAATTTTATGAGATAAATGAGAATCTATGCTGGTGAATAACAATAGCTATAGGAAACAATCGAATCTAATAATTAAGTGGGACAAGCTCTACTCTATTCCACTTCACATCTCTAAATAATGAATTTTGTTTAACTTTTTGTTTTGAATAAATAACTGAACTTATTTGATTGACTTTTTTTGTTCAGATTTTATTTTTTGAATTAGTCAAGATCTTCTGTAAAATAAGTTTTATTCTAAATTGGCATTCATGTTTTTATGTTTAGGTAACACACAAACGATTTCACAGGAAATAAAACAGGAAAAATTATATTTAATTGATAAATACAAACAAATTTTACAAAATAAACAATTGCAACAATCGTCGTTACCGCAAAAACTTAAAGATTTATTATTACAACAGTTAAATGAATTAGAAGAACTTAATAGTGATACTTGATAGCTGTTAAAATTTTATCTTTTTAATTATCTTATTCTTGCATATTTTCATTATTATACAAGCTTCTCATGCAATACATTCCTTTGATCTGCATAAATAGTTGCAAATTTTCTTAAATTTTAAGAAAAACTGGATTAAAATGTTTCTTTTAAATTATATGAGCTTTACAATGGTTGTATTTCTAGGAGTAGTTCAGTATATACACTTCTAGTTAAAAGTGACAGTTTAACATGAAAGTACATGTGTGAACATTTGTCTTGATTATCTTCGAGGAAACGTATGATCGATTTAAGCGTCTTGATGAAAACTACACTGATAGTAGAAAAGTATTTTTTAAAAAAAACAATTCAGTACTACTACCCTCTTCCAAAACACAGTTTCACTTTTTATGATCAAAAACAATGAAAAAGATTAATTTTTGAACCGAAATGAGGTTTGGGCCTTAAAACTTCGGACTACGGGAGCCAATATTTTCCGTTAATTGAAACGCACTCGTCTACAGTAAGGTAGGCTATAATAAACATAATAACAAAGTTAAAACTGTGTACTCAGGCTATTGAATCCCTGTATTTTATTTACAATGCTAAAAACAATCGACAGCGAAGCAAGTGAAGATTGGCTTCACTACGAGTTACTTTGATATATTCGAGCTAATTTTCCTTCGTATTTTAACTGATGAGGGAACGTCTTGAAGTTCTAAATCGCTTTTTGATCGAAATCTAGTGAGTTATAGGTTATCGACCATAGTAATTCCGAATATGATTAGGGACGCTGACCATGGTCGTTCGAAGGTCCGGTTTTCTGGAAAGCTGGTTTTCCAGAAACTCTAAAGAATAATCAAAACCTTTCTTAAGGAGACATAGTTCCAGCTGCAAATTTCTGGTTAAAATGAGACATCGCCCAGCTCTACAGACCTTTCTTTACAAAGTTATAGAATTTACAGCAAAAGCCCTAAATGCACTTCTTCTGGCAGAGCTATAGAAAAAGAAATTAATTTAGGACTTTTCTCCTAAATTCTCTAACTTTGCAAAGAAAGGTTTTGTAGAGCTGGGAGATGTCTCATTTCTTTAACCAGAAATTTGCCGGCTACAATTATGTCTCCTTATGAAAGGTTTTGGTTATTTTTTAGAGTTTCTGAAAAATTGGTTTTCCCGAAAATCGTATCTTCGAACGACCATGGGCAGCTCCCATAGTCATATTCGGAATTATCATGGTCGATAACCTATAATCCACTAGATTTCGATCAAAAAGCGATTTCTAACCTCGAAAGGTTCCCTCGTGAGTGTACTGCCGATATACCCGAGGCCATTTATTATCATTATTTCCTATGGAACAAAGTAGAGGACGTATAAGATATAAACCAACACTGAAAAGACAAAAAATAAGTCAGAGCAATTTCTATAACAGTAAAATCTGTTCGTAAAATATTTTCATTTCCGAAATAATGTTAGAATTAAATCTTCCCATACGCTCAACAAATGATGGTTTAAAAGGATACCGTTGACTGAGTTTCTTTTTCCTCCATTCACGATCATATCATGTGTGTAGATAATACTCGCCAAGACGCATCCAACGGTATGTATTTTGAGTCTAGAAAATGGTTCCATCAAAAGTTATTTCAAAAATAAAATTTTCGGAAATTTTTAGTACTTAAAAGATGGTGTTTTCTAGCTTTCTCTTCTAACTGAATGAGAATATTTCATATACCAGTCGATTTAGCAAGACTTACTCTATCGTTATATATGTTTAGTGTATTATGTGCACATAAACTGCGAGAGAAAAATTTGAAAAAGTAGAAAAAAAAAATTTTCTGCATTATGGATATCTTTAATAAAATTGATATAGCTCAGCTCAGAAGCCTTCCCGAAAGACCAAACCATCAGGAAAACTAACGTTATATTCGTAATCTGCGAATAAAGCTGAGTCAGAAAATGAGTTTGATGATTATTGAGAATCTATGGTTTTGGCTCTGGGATTGCTTAATCCTAAATACTGTTAATTCTGGTCGTTATCCGTAATTTTTATTTCAATGATGAAATGAAAAAACTTTTAAACTAGTCACATTTGTAGAGCTCGTCTTCCTCTACATTCTGCAAGAATTGGATTATTTTTAAACGGAAAACGTTTTCGCACTACTTTCGATACAGAGGCGAAAATGTGAGAATTATGCTCGTAATTCTCAATTTTCTTCATAAGAACTCAACTTTTATGCAATAGAAATATCATATTTCGAATCAGAATCCAAAACTGAGCCGAGTGATGTATTTCGAAATTTTCACTTCATTTTCATTTTTTCGTGGAAATCTCGGTACTTTTTCAACGTGAAAATTAGAAAAAATTAAGGTAATCAAATTGGATAGGAATACACATTAGGCCACTTAGTTTTTGATTTTGATTTCGAATATGATATTTCTATTGCATAAAAATTGAGTTCTGATGGAGATCAATTTGAGAATTACGAGCATAATTCTCACATTTTCACAACATAATTCACACACGTTTCGGTTGATCAACTCAATCTTCGGTAGTGAATAAGGAATTTAAAAACATTTAAATTAATCAAACTGAAGCATCGAACAAAATTATATCCTTTGACATACTGATAAAATTTAAACAGAAAGTGGATGCCGATTTTGTTACTGTATTGTGACACATGTTGCTTTTACACACACACAGTAAAATTACATTTTAAATGTATCTAGACAAAGTAGAATAACTATATCCTTAATCCATAAATGTTCGTTTTATTTTTATTTTTTTATAAATATATAACGCTAGCACCAAGCTTTCTGAGATAGTTAAACCATTAAGTTAACCTAGCAGATATAGACTCTTATAAAATTAGGTTGATCTAATAGAAAAATGATAGGAAAAAATCTCTATATTAACCATTCCTTTTTGTCGAATACAACGCCTTGATCAAAACTGTTCATATATCCTGGACTATATGAGGAATGTTAAACTAACTCTGATGCTTCTAAGATGCCCGGAAATCGAGCAGAATTTTTTCCAGATATCTATACATGGTCGAATAGACCTGGATTCTTGAGAAGCATATTTATAGCTCATTTTGAAGGACAGAAAATTCTCGATCTTTCTATATACAAAACATTCCGGGTCTGAGTAGAAATGTCAAAGAAGTATTCCCTTAAAGTGTTGCACTGCACTCTTGCACAATTGCACGTTTCAATGCACGTGTCAAAATTGTATCTCAGTTGAAAAATGAATATTTTCGCAGAAATAATGGTTTCTTAACTGAGATACTTGATTAAAATATCGATTGTATCTCACGAGGGAACTGCCCCAAGCGTCCGCTCGCTTTTTTGTTGAAATCTAGTGGAGAATAGGTTATCGACTATGCTGATTCCGAATATGACAATGGTTTTTGCTGCTAGGCCTTCGAAGACCTGGTTTTCTAGA